TCAAGCTTGGCTCATTTTAATTAATTATCATTTATATGTTCACTCTGTGTTTATTTATTTAGGATAATACTAAACTTATAATACAAAAACACTAATCTAAGCCTCAACTAACACTAAGTCTTAATGTAATAACACTAATTTTTTTATAATGCTTTCAGATGCGAATATTTATACAAAAATCCGTCGCCGGTGTATTAGGTATACAAGTTGATCATAGAGAAGCGGTTGTAGTTCCGTTTGAAATCCCTTAAAATCAATAATAACACTTTTTGTGGTGTTAATAAGTATTCAACTTATAATGTTGTCGATTATAATACAATATTTTTGGATATGGGGAATTTTAAAACCACCAGCTCATGTTGAATATGTTAATAATAAAAAAAGAAAAAATCCCTGATGTTGAGCTGAACTGAGACCAGAAAGAACGAAAACTCAAATATGGATTGCTCTTCAATAAAAATTAAAACAATTTAGTAAAAAATTTCTATTGACAAATAGTTATTTAAATTATTTAAAAACATTATCACGAGTAGGATGCTTGTCAAGAAAAAAAAATTGAAAGAAATTACACAAATAGAAGATAACCAAAAATTAATGTAAAAATTTATGCGTTCACGCGTAGAGGAAAAATTTTTAGCTCTCCTGCCACGTGCGGTTTCTATTGAATTTCAATGCAGCTTCCAAATTTTGATCTCCATATTAAATGTAATGTAACTCTAAAGATGTACGTTTATATCGAACAGTTTTGATTCATGAAATATGCCCCAGTTATACATCCGCCTACTTCATGAACTGAAGACATATGATGTGTCAATTCACTTGGCTGTAACACATATATCAGTTCAAAAAAATTTATCGAACATAAATTTTAAGTTTAGCAGTAATTTGTAAAATTTGAAAAGAGTTTGAAGATGTCCTTCAATTTAAACCATAAGTACTGGATTTCTACTTCGAAAGAAATCAGTCAATTGATAAAAAAGCAAAACCGATTAAAAAAAATTGACCCACCAGAGGAAAAATCCGTGTCATTTAAAATATTCTCCGAGCTATATATCCTATATGTTGAACTTGTCAATAAATTAACTTTTATTTACTATAATACCTTTCAAGTGCAAAAAAGAAAGGTGGTCCGAGCGCTCGTTGAAAATGCTACTCAGCAACTCATGTTGCTCAAAGAAGAGCTGAAAGAAATGGAACTAAGTGAATATACTTATATGGACAAAGCGCTAATTGTAAGAAAGTTGACTCCAGTGGATTTGATGATTTGGAGATCTCCGCAATTTCTGTATCGTCGTCCACTAGATATTGCAAACATTTTGGTAGATAATAAGCTCTACATGAATGATCAAGAAAAAGAGCAAAGCGATGCAAAGGATTGGACTAAAATAAGCGATGCAGTGGCGCTTATACAAGCCCATGAGCGGGCCCGAAGTGCTCGTGTCTACAAAGCTAATATCAATTATGATAAGAAGAAATTCTTAGAGGTCAAACAAAGGAAAAAGGTTAATTACAGATTTACCTTCAAGCCAAATCAAGCAATGAGTATTCCTGTTAAAAGAACTATATTCACGGCGGACTTTATTAAGACTGATGAGTCTTGTAAAGAATTACGTGATAAAATCGATCACTTGGGAGGTTGTATGTCAGGTAATCTTATGTATGTTTAATCAATATCTGCATGTTTTCTTCTGCCTGCTATATTGTATGAAAAATATTAGACTGAACTCTTCGGTTGATGACTTAAGAATAACAATACATACACAAGAATTTCCATTTAGGAGTCCTGCCTTCGATATTGCCCTAAATAGTGTGGCAATAAATGCATTAAAAATGAGTATTGGATGGAAAATCCAGAAATTGGGGCAGACTATCTTAG